CGATTCGGTTCCTGCAGGAAGACACTGGAAATCAACGGAAAGCGGAAGCAAGAATCCTTGAATAGGATCATGTGATTGTTTTTGCCTGGTCTCTTCTCGTTCCGGAGAGAAACAGATGATTCCGTACGCTATGTCTGTTCGAAGTATTTCTACTTTCCTTGTCTGTTGATTTCTAGTATCTTCCTTCGGGATTCGGCCCTTACTTTATACATGGACTAGAGGGAGTACCCGCTGCAAATAAGAAATATCTATGTCGAATATCTCACGCGTTGAAGAGCTATAACAGGTAGAAAATCAGTATAATTCAAACTTCTACGCTTCCACTCCTTATTTTCCCGTCGAGCATCGCATAAAATGGCAGTTTCGGCTATATCTTTTTATGCAAAAGAGTTACCGAAGCTAATTTCTGCCTCAGAAATTATGAAAATTTCTTCTCTCTCTGATATTCATTTTCCACTCCAGCTATTCATTCATCGATCTCTTTCTCACTCTCACGTCATTTCATACCTAATATCCTTCGAATTCACCCACCTTCAACATTTATCTTAATCTTTTGAGATCCTGTAACGCTACTGGTGAGTTTCGCAGATTATTTGTAGCATTCACCGAACTATCATAGGCGTAGAGAACATGTGGCTTGTTGTCTTTGAGCGCTCAGACGGCCTTCGCCATTGATTTCATCCACTTTTGAAATCCTGCAATCCTATTGGCCAGTTTCATAGATTGCCTGTAGCAGACGCCGGGGTCATTTGTTCTCGGAACAAAGTAGATGTCGACCTTTCTCTGGGTCTCAGGAAGCATTGTGGAAAGTTTCACGCCGACAGCTACTACAGGGACTGAATGCATAGCGAACAAACAAACAGACAAACTTTCTTCTTTATATATATAGATAGATAACTTCCGAAAGAACTTCTACGTCTTTGTCTTTGAGAAAGCTTCAGCACACAAAATAGTTTCAAAATTAGAAGTATATCCTCACCCAAACTTTCACCAGGCGGATTTTTAGAATGCGATTTCTGCCATTTTCTCTAAGAATTATAGTGAGTTTGAGATGAGAATCCGAGTATAGTAAAAGTATTAAAATTAGGGTTATTCATTATTGAATGTTTTAATTCCGGATTAAAGTATAGGAACTTTTGTCGACTAGAAATTTGCACNAATATTATGAATTACATTTATAAAAAACTCGACCGTTTAAATGTTCTTGGTCGTGTGTCGACCGTCACTTGTGACGGTGCTTCAAATATGACAAAAGCATTCGATACATTTGAAGCTGTCGATCGTCTATGGTGTTTAGGACACCGTCTACACCTTATCGTAACTAATGCACTTGGTTTCTGGTTGAAAGACAAAAATAAAGAAATCAATGATGCAATCGATGATACGACAACAATCAATCCGACTGATGATGTTGGCGACTTGGATACAAAAGAAATATTCAATGACGAAGAGGATGCTTTGGCGGCAAATGACAGCGATGAAGAAACTGAAATGGTAATTTTCTTACTTCAATATTCAATCAGAGAAATGTTAGACGTAGTGTGGTTAGACTTTTTCTTCTTACATTCTGACTTGTGCCTAGAAAGAAAAATAAAATTATTCTCGCCAACACGTGTTGTTAGATGCGCAATTTTCTTCTCACTTCATTCTTTTCGTTCTTTCTATTACATCTGAACTTTACTTTACATTCAAGGAAGATGCACAAACAGATATTAATGGTTATGGTCCAATCGACGATGGATGGGGCGACGATGTCATTACAGAAGACAATTATTCCTTGCAAAGTAGAACCTCGGTAGGCGTACTTTTACGTAAATGTCGTACACTTGCTTCCATGATTAAACGATCTAGCATATTAGCAGCGTTCTTTGAAAAAGAATGCTACAAGATTGGCAGTCGACGTTCGCTTCGGGCTGATGTGTGTACAAGATGGAATTCTACACTCCATATGATCAATAGTTTTCTCGCTCTGAAAACAGTCATCTGTGCATTGTTTGTTGAAAAACACTCGTGGGATTTAACTGGTGTTCAATCAAAGAAATTGCATTGCCTCGAACTAACCTGATCTGACTGAAATTTGTTAAAGAAGGTTAGTCAAATTCTTACGCCATTTGATCTTGCCACAAAGCTCTTAAGTGACCGACAGTATCCGACGATTGGTTTGTGTTTATTTGCCATTCATCATCTCAAACTATTTCTCGATGATACCGAAGGTGATACTGAATTAGAACAACAACTCAAACGTTCTTTTCTTGACAAAATGGCAAAATACATTGATGACGAAAAGGAACAAATGCGTATGTTACGAGTAAGTCTCACTTCTTAACTAAAGATTACGTTGTACAACCCTCTGGCCATCTTCTGTTAGATCTATAGATATTTCGATCCCATGGGATTCGCTGTACTACCAGATCGAGAAAGAACCATGGTAGAAAGAGAGCTAAAAAAAATTGTCGAGCGCAAATCCTGACAAAAGTTCGGATTCGGTATCAACAAGTACACAATCGACCACTGAATGTGAGACAACGTCGAAACGCACCAATTAATGCTTTTTTTT